AGTTTTCAAAATGCCAACATGTTTTACGACAGACTGAAAACTGAATTTTACTTTGTCTACTCTATGATTGATTTCTATTGCTCTGAGTTACAGATTAACATATTGAGCTATGAATACTATAAATACACAGACACATTGGATTATATATTTTGCTGTTATTTCATGTTTTATGTCATGCAAGTTTGTTGTGATTTAAATACTATCATACAAATATCTTAACCCCTGCCATCAAGGAGCTAATAGAGGTAAGATTCAGGGTAAATACAATGTAAACTTCGGCTCAAATATTACACGTAGGGAATGGGAGAAACACCACGTGTCTTTGTGAAGGACAGGGCCCTCATTGTTCCAGGGTGTGCCATTCACATACTAGACATTAGAATATAGATCCTCCTGTTATATTATTTCTGGAACCTCCCTACCTCATATCGTTCCATTTCAGCTCTCCAGCGGTTCCAATTTCTCCAGGGAATCCACATAAATAAAGATAAGTACAGATGGATAAATATAGATATAAATAGATGATAGAGATATAGATATATTTTCCAGAGAATGTACTGGTTCCTTTCTCCAATAAGATACCATATGCAGATGCAATTTGACACGGGAATATCATGAGTGTTGTGAACTGTTACAAATTTAATGAATTAAAGATCACTTCTTATTCTACTGATAATAACACTTTATATTCATATTCATGCTTCTTAATTAGTATTCTCTCTTGTGTTTGCGGAGCTCTTTCAATGACAAACTATACATCTTGATCAGTGATGTTTCTCCTCCTGGGTTGATAAATATTCCTGAGAGATATGTAATTCCCTTTATCAGTCTCATCACTGCAAAAGGCAGTCATTGCATGTTTACATGAATCAGGACAATATTCTATAAATTGTATATCTTTGGGAAGGGATTTTTACATCTTCATCTATATGAATGGCACACCCTAAAATAACACGGTGCTCACCCTTTACAACTGCATGTGGTGCTCTGCAGTCTTTCATTGTATCATGTAGGGATGTTTTTTCCAAGCATGAGTAGGTTACTACCAAACACTGGCTCAAGGAATAGGGCTTATTTTAAAATAAGAAAAAATGATCACATGTTTAAAATGATCTCATGGCATTTATTGGTTCAGAAGCTCAACAATATTGGAGTCAATATGTTCTGTTGCCCTTAAGTAAATTTCCCAAGTGGATGAAGTGCACATAGAAAAGTTCTTCAAAGTCTGAGAAGCAGAAGGGAAGAGAGGATAAATATTCCCCTCACAGACTTCTCCTTTTAGGAGAGAACATTTATCTCTTAAATTGTCCCTGGAAGAATTCCTTCTGCAAATCATTAGCAACAGACATTTGGCTTTTCTGGAATTCTGCTTCTCCTTAATCCTAATGCTTAGGCTATGCCCTGCCTTCATTTTGTTTTGGCTTTCTATGAAAGCAAACTCACTCATTAAAAGCAGGACTGATTAATTTATATTTATGGTAGCTAATATTTATTTATAATGGAATAATTATGTTTCTCTTGAATTCATTTTCTGTACCAGAAACAGTTTTTACTGCGCTTCGAACCTTTCTACTATTTTTCCTCTTCTACTTCTACATCTTCGAAAGTCAAGTTTTCTTCCCTGTCATCTCTGGGATGATATCAGTGAAGCATAAAAATGTATTAAGAGACAATTTAGGGACCTTGTTAAAAGCCCAAAATCTTGAGCATGAACTTGACTAACTGGTGTGGAATTTGGTTCGATACTTTAGTGGACTCTGATAACTTACTTAGTCTCTCTGAATCACCTTTTAATAATCTGAAAAATAGAAATTATAATTGGACCTACCCACAGAGTTGTTGTGACAATCAAATTCATCAAGACATGAAGAATACTCAAAAGTATGAGACAGTATTACCTGGTAGTAATAATGACCATCTTAAAGATTCTTTTTAACTGCATTAACATTTTGATATTTATTTTTACATGAGACTGTATCCTGTATGTTTTTATGTTGTAAGATTTTATTTTATTTTTTAGAGAAGTTTTAGGGCATAGAAAAAGTGAGAAGTTACAGAGATTTCCCATATATTCCCTGACCCACACATGCATAACCGCCCCATCCCACTGTCAACAGCTCTTAACAAAGTAGAACATTTGTTACAATCCATGAACCTACAATGGCACATCGTTTCCACCCAAACCCCATAGTTTACACTGGCTTCACTCTTGGTCTTGTTCATTCTATGGGTCAGAATAAATATATAATGATTTATATCCACAATTATAGCTTCATACAAAGTTATTTTCACTACCCTCCCAATTTTCCGAGTTCCCCCGGTTCATCCTTACCTCTATGCTCTAACCCCTGGCAACCACAAATCTTTTTACTCTCTTCAAAGTTTTGCTTTCTCCAGAATGTCACATAGTTGGAATGACGCAGTAAATAGTCTTTTCAGATTAGCTTTTTCACTTAGCAATATACATTTCAGTTTCTATCACATTTATTTTCATGGCTTGATAGCTCATTTCTTTTTAGTGTTCAATAAAATATCATGTCTGGATGTACTATAGTTTATTTGTCCCCTCCACCTATTGAAGTACATCTTGGTTGCTTTGTATGATACACTTTTAAAGTTCTATTACTTTTAAAATTTTATTCTGGGGAAGCACTTTAAGTGTTCTTTGGCTAAACATTGAATGTTATTGCAGGATAGTGAACAAAGCAAATATTGTAGACAACTAGCTTTAATAAATTCCAAGAAATATTAAGAAAAATAAAGTAAACAAAAGAAAAATAAAATATCAAAAGTAAGCATATGGAAAAATTTGGGGAGTGACATGGAGGCACTATGTACAAAAGACAAGATAACTGTGCCCTTGTTATGTTTCGGGTTTCACTTACATTAGAAATATGGTATCGTGCAAACAAACAGGATTATTTTCTTTTGCTTCCCACAATAACCAATCAATGCAGTTAAACAATAAAAGGTAGTTAAAACATAGTGCATATCAATATTGATTAAAAGTGGGAAATACTGAACCAAGGCTCAACAAGAAGGTTATCGCAGGCCTCACGGTGGGTGTACCTCAAGTTCCCAGCGTGGGTGGTACGGAAGGCTGTGCCACGGGACCCTACAGGACACCTACTACATTAGGTGTATCTACCAAGATACAGAGTCAAAGCAGCTCTCCCTCATACATAGAAACAAACACAGGGAGGCTACCAAAATGAAGAGACACAGAAACATGGCCCAAATGAATGAACAGATCAAAACTCCCCAAAAAAAGAGCTAAATGAAGTGCAGTTAAGCAATCTATCAGAGGCAGAGTTCAAAACACTGGTTATAAGGATGATCAAGGAACTTAGTGAGGACCTCAACCTTATAAGATAGATCCAGTCAGAAACTAAGGATACACTAATTGAAATAAAGAATTATTTTCAGGGAAACAACAGTAAAGTATATGAACCTAAGAATCAAATAAATGATTTGTAACATAAGGAAGCAAAAAACTACCACGTAGAACAAGAAAAAAAAAAACAATCCAAAAAAATGAGCATGAACAGACTCTGAGACAGCTTAAAGAGGTCCAACATTTGCCTCATAGGGGTGCCAGAAGGAGAAGAGAAAGAGCAAGAAATTGGAAATCTATCTGAAAAAATAGTGAAAGAAAAATTCCCTAATTTGGTGAAGGAAATAGACTTGCAAGTCCAGGAAGTGCAGAGAATCCCAATTATGATGGATGCAAAGAAGCCCACTCCAAGACATATCATTATTAAAAGGCCAAAGGTTAAAGATAAAGAAAAACTCATAAACGCGAGAGAAAAGAAGTTAGTTATCAGATAGCTGACAAATAGGAAGGGGAAGGGAGGGGGTGGGTGAAGAGATGAGGGCATTAAGAAGTACAAATAGGTAGTACAGAATAACCATGGGCATGTAAAGTAAAGTATAGGAAATGGAGCACCCAAGGGACTTATACACATGACCCATGGACATGAACAATGATGGGGGATCTCCTGAGGGAGTGGGGGCGGGTGCTGGGTGGAGGGGGCAAAGGGGAAAAGTCAGAGCAACTGTAATAGCATCATTAATAAAATATAATTTAAAAATTGAGAAATATCAGCTTGAAAAAAGAGAATCAACACAATTAATTTTCATAGGATAGTTCTCTTACCCAAGGATACTAAAAGTAACTTTTAAACATGGATAGTTAACTTTTTTCAAAGAGATAAGGACATACTACAGTCTTGAAAACCCAACAGCAAGTTATTAAGCAAGAACAACTAGTTGAGAGGAAAACAGTACAAACCTAGGAGCTTCTATGTGGTCTCAGAAATTTTTTTTAATTTAAATATCCTCTGATATCAACAAAGTAGACCAATTAAGATAGAACTAGGTCCCAATCAGAATGTATGGACTGGTGAATTACAAAGAATATTCAGTTAATAGAGTCAAATATGGATAAGGTGGGATCCCAATGTTCGGAAAGTGTATTTAAGCAAAGTAATATGATTGAGAACTTCAAATCATCAGGTATTACAGACACAACCTTTAGTAAGTACAACTCTGAAGCATACCAGGGAGTAGAACAAAGGCTAAAATCAAAGGAAAGAAAAGGCGTACACACACACACACACACACACACACACACCACGCACACACACACACTCACACACACACATTCACACTCATTTATGCTGTGATTTTATTCTGATAGATGAGAGAAGCAACAGGAATCTTGACGGCTCTTTTCTATGTCCACCGAACACAATCTGCTATACTATAACACTTATGTAATTTAAGTATATAATTTATCTTTCCCCTCAAGCAAGGCAGATATTTTTACTGTTTTGTTCTTTAACCTATTTACAGGGATTAGAAGTGCCTAGCATCTACAAGACAATCGATAAATATATGTCGACTCATTTGTGTTTGCTATTTCTTTGGGAGGCACATACAGCAAACTTTCAAGTCCATAATCTAGGAATCATTTATAGGAATCATATTGTATGCAAACCTTAAGAAAAAGTATTACATAGATTTCTCCACACCCTTTGTAGTGCACATTTTACATCTTTGTTCCTCAAGCTGTAGATCAAGGGATTCAACATGGGGATCACTAGGGTGTAAAATATGGAAGCCATTTTATCACTGTCAAAGGAATGACTGGACTCAGGTTGTACATACATAAATATCAAAGTCCCATAGAATACTATGACCACCGTCAGGTGCGATCCACAGGTAGAAAAAGCCTTGTGCCGGCCTTCAGCAGAGTTCATCCTGAGAATGGATTCCAGAATGAGGAGGTAAGACACAAGAACTATCAGAAGGGAGGAGATCAAATCAAAACCTGCTAAAATCAGAATAATCATTTCAATTTCATGCGTATTTGAGCAGAGCAAAGATAACAAGGGGAGGCTGTCACAGTAGAAATGTCGGACAACATTGTAGCCACAGAAAGATAAATTAAAAATCTTTACGGTGATTAAAAGAGCAACAAATGTGCTGTAGAGATAGGGGACAGCCACCAGCAGCTGACACAGCCTTTGTGACATGATGACTGGGTAGAGCAGAGGTTTACAGATGGCCACATAGCGGTCATAGGCCATTGCAGACAGGATGAAGATCTCACTGACAATGAACACAAGAAAGCAAGCTAGCTGGATAGCACAGAAATAATAGGAGATTGTATTTTGATCCACAACAAAATTTACTAACATTTTAGGTCCTACAGTTGTTGAATAACCAAGATCAGTGAGCGCCAGGTGTCTGAGAAAGAAATACATGGGTGTATGGAGCCTCGAATCCACCTTGGTGAGGATGATCATGCCCAAATTGCCCACCACTGAAATCACGTAGATGATGAAGAAGAGCCCAAATAATGGAGCCTGCAACTCAGGGCGGTCTGTGACCCCCGTGAGAATGAATTCACTTAGCACAGTTAAATTTTGTGTTTCCATGCAGGTTTTTCAGGAAACTTATTCTGTGAAGAGACATCAACATCGTCAATAGATTTCAGGTCTCATACCTGGCAGATGCTTAGTATGCAAAGCTAGTATAAATAAGATACACCCAAACTTTCTAATTTAGAATACATGAAAATAAGCTTATGTCCCACAAAGATAACACTCATAAATAGAGCTGGAAACAGATAGCCAGGGGTTCTCAACCGGAGGTGATTTTACTAAGCAATGAGCATTAATCAATGTCTAGAAGATATTGCGGTCATCACAACTCAGAGGTAAGGTGCAACTGGCTTGTAGGATTAGAAGTCATTTATGCTTCTAAACATTCTTTGATACTCAATATTTAGTCCAAAATATCAACAGTGTCAAGGTTGAGAATTCAGAATGGTAGGGCTAAATATATGATAAGGATAGTTAGATGATAGGTAGATAAATAGAAGATTAATAAGTAGATGGGTAAACCAATACATACACAGATACATAGATAAAGATGGGTATACAGTGTGTAGATATGTAAACCTTAGATCCAGACATATACATTGATATATAAAGAAAATATAAAAGAAGTTAAAACTACATTAAAAATTGGGGTGTTTTATAAATTATTATTGTGCTATTCTTTAGAGTTTTCTTTAATCATTTATATAATTACAATCACATAGCAACACTTGTAAATTACTTTTAATAATATGACTTAATACATATGCTAAGTATATATTAAAATGTATCATATAATTAAATAATAATTATCATAATAATTTTAAACCACAAATTCCAAAAATGTATACAACCCACTACTTCAACACATGGTCCTGCAAAATTCCTTATGTCTATAGGTGATTCAGGCTGAAATAGTAATACAATTGACAGAAATTAGACCGGTGTATAAATAAGGAAACTATAACAGATTGCAGTGAAAATTATTTGCCTTTATATGTAGAAACATGTGTGTGTGTGTGTGTGTGTGTGTAATAAGAAGCAGTATAAATGTTGTTTTGGTGTGTTTTGTGTCACTTTGTGAATATGAAAGACTGAGAAAAACTCTACTTGGTGAGTTCCAGTTTTTCTGCATGGTAAGGAAAGATTTTCTCACACCAATTGCTTTTCCATAGTTTAACACCAATCTACTGTTTTTTAAAAGCTATACTCTTTTGAGATAATTATGTCTGCTTTCTATCAGATTCCACTTGAAATTTATAAACATGCTGGATATTTTGCCATTATCATAAAACTGGGTACTTTAAAGTCTTCTAATAGCCACATAATGTCTTTCATGTCTCAGTAGGAGGTGAAAAGAATTCTACTTATACATTTATTTGAATAATTAATTATTAAATATTGTTTTATATAGAGTGTCACCAAAATAGAACCTAGAACCACTAAATAACTAAAAGTTTGAAAAGACATCAAAATGATAGATTAAATACCTGCAGCTTTGTAATTTTGTCAATGTTTAAAAGTTCGTATTTAGTTATACTTCATTTGAACTCAGTGTGGCCTGCATTACAGATATAATTACCCATATTAAACAAATATGTTATAATCAATAGCATGATGATATTTCAAGATGCTTCTGAACTTTAGTCCATCAACCCACTTGAAAATACTCAAAAACATTAATATGTTGAGATAAGGAGAGGGGTTCTATTCCTGCTCAGGTCTTACCGAGTAATAAAGAGCATGAAAAACTACATCAGAAATGGAAACTTCTTGCTAACGCTTTTTCACTGAATTAAAGTGAAACTTCCCATACATCACTGAAACATTGTCAATACTGGTATCATAAGACACCACATGAAACATTCTATCTTTTTACCTGTAATGAAGTCTCCCTCTTGACTCCCTCATGTGTTTCTTACATGGCTCAGGGAGGACAATTTATGGATGTTTTTCACCTTTTGAGACTGTCCCTGAGGAGATGCCAAGGGACGTGTTGATTGTCTCTACAGTATTTAATAGCACAATTAAATGCCTGGAAGTTGTCTTTTAATTGCCATGGACAATTGGTATTCACCATGTTTTCCTTCCTTTCCTTCCTTCTTGCCCCGCTGTCTCCCTCCCTCCCTCTCTCTCCCCCTTCCTTCCTTCCATTTTTGCCCTTAACTTTCCTTTTGTACCAGGCAGGGCTCTTGCCTACAATATTGTATCTATATGTATGCCCATCAATGGTTTTCATTTACACAGTGGTCTACTCAAATGAGTGACAGTGTAGAAATGTTTTAACTACTGTTACTGTCCTACTATTTTAAAATTTTTAGGGCCTTGAAATAATACATTGTTTTTTTGACTTGTTTCTCATGTTGTTGCTGGTCCAAAGCCCATGTGCCCAACACTCCAAGAGGCCAACACTCAAAACACCCGAGTTTGGAGTAAGGGAAGTTTTATTGATTGAGTAAGGGCCAGCTGAGAAGATGAGAGCTTTAATCCACCTTAAATCCATTTTAATAAAGTACAGAGTTCAGGCTTCTTTTGTGTCACGGGAAGGGAAAAATGGGAGGGGCTTTTTGGAAAATCAAGCCTCAAGCAGGATTCCTCTAATGATTAGCACAAATATATGCAAGACAAAGAGGGAGCTCTTGGCCTGAAGGCCACGAGAGCAAAGCCAGCTTGAATAAGATTAAGTCAGAGAAACTGAGCATTTCACTCTGTCGCAATGTAATTTCTCCCCCTAAGGAACAGAAATTAGTTACTGTTACTTTTCATTTCATTGTGAGTTTTCATCATCTGTCTTTCCAGTTTTTCTTCACACTTTATTGCACCATTTCAGTTATTCTGCGCAGACCCATTCCGGTATGGATATATACTCCATCACCACAAAGTTCCCTCTGGCTACCCTTTTAGGGCCACTTGCTTTGTACTGGTCTCAGCCTACTAATAACAGTGTTGTGGCTGGGCCAGCCCTTGTGGTTTTTATGCTTGATTGCAAGATACCATTTGGCAATAACCTCCAGGAAACTTTGAAAAGGTACAGGTTTGTTATTTACATGCCCAGGAAATTACACAGCATACCTGGGCCGCACCTTGAGTTCTGGGTAGTGGGGTGAGGAGAAGGGAAGGAAAGGCAAGGGGAGGGGGGAAGTGGAAAGGGGGCAGAATAGGGATCTGGGACAATCAAAGCCTATACCAGTCACTTGTATTACAAAAAAGAAAAGACTGCCAGGGTTTACATATACTTTGCCCATTTCCTCCTCTTCTGCCATTGTTTCTAACCTTTGGCAATCACTAATCTGATCCATCACTATATTTTTGTCATTTGAAGAATGTTTATAAATAATATCAAACTACTTGCAATATTTGGGGACCAGCTTTTTTCACTCAACCTAATTCTCTTGTGATTCATTTGTCCTTCTGTGTGTATAAATCACTTGTTCCTCTAGTGTTGCTTGGTATGGATGATGCAGATTTTTAGCCATTCACTCATAGACAGGCATGTGGGTCCTCTTCAGTTTTCAACTATGATGGATAAAACTTGCCTTGACACTCTTAAAGATGACTGTGTAACATAAGTTCCATTCCCCCAGGATGGGACTTCAAGCGTGTGATTAGTAAATCGTTTTAATTTTGATAAAGTCCAGTTTATCAAGCTGTTGTTTGATAGATTATGCTTTTGATAGCATGTTGTTATGAGGAAACAGTTCGTGTGAAGTGCCAGGGAGTCTTCCCCATTGGCCAACACGGCAGCGGGGAGAGGTTCTCACGCTGAGTGTAGGGAAAGCTAGAAATATCAATGGATAGGGTCTGAGTGTGAAACGCTAGCAAGATAATTAGAGAAAAAGCCCTTTCCCCCCAGATTGTGTGTGGGACCAGGCCTGTGCCATAAAAGTCAAAATGGCGGGAGGGGAGGTGCTGACCAAAGATGCCTGTCAGTCTAGACTCAGAAAGGAAGGGACTGGCTTGGAGGTGGACCCACCGAAAGTGCGCAAAAGTTTGGGAAGTTGACAGGTTATTTTGAGAAAGCACTGGACTGTTTCACACCCAAGTTAATATAAAACCAGGGAAACAAAGAAGTTTGGGCTCATGGTTCTTTTGCTGGTGACCAGCAGGTGCACAGGATACTCACCTGCTCTCCCCATGGGCCACGTGGCCTTAGCAGGTCTCACTCTCTCTTGCCCATCTGGTGATGCACCCCCTGGTGCCTTCGTGCACTCTCCTGGGAGTACGTGATCTCGCGGCCATAGCAGGTGCAGCGCTCGTTGTTGTGTGGGCTCCACAGGCAGGCTCCGGCTCCGGGAGGGAGTCTAAAATGAACAGCAGCCCAGAACAAACTAAGCTACCTGGGTGTTTAGCAGCCACCGGCGGTCTTCACAGGACTGTACTTTGAATTGGAGCAGAAACTCTGGACACTGGCTTTTGTCTTGGTCTTGCTGAGGAGATGAGCTTTGAGACAGGACTTAACTGTTTTTCCAGGTCACGCAGCACCTGAATAAAACCTCTTTCTTTTTTCACAGCATCTGCCTCTCAAGTTCGGCTTTTGTGTCCACAAGCAACCAAAACCCCACTTTTGTTCAGCTACACCATCTATAATTTCATTGTTCCTCTGTATACAGAGTCTTTTCTTGGCTGTTTAGGTTTTTATTTATCAGCAGCTATGAGAAATTTGATTATGATGTGCCTTTACGTAGTTATTTACGTGCTGTTTTTATCCAGGGCTTGCTAATATTCTTCAATCTGAGAGTTTTGAATTTTTATCGTATCTGAAAATTTTCACAATATTTTCTTTAAATATATTGCCCACTTCTCATTCTGCCTATTTTCTCTAAGCCCCATGAAGAGAGGGGTTCTTGTTGTTCACTTTACAATATGTTTATTACCTTGAATGAATCCATTTATATAAAATCTATCTTGCATTCTTTTTAATGCCTTTTACCATGTGAGGCACTACAGATAAAATTATGAGTATAATAGCCAGAGTCCCTGGCTTTCTAAAAATAAATGTCCAGTGGAGGAGAAATGTAATTGGCTATATGAAGAATAACACAAATCTGATTTGAAAT